CCCACACCTGTAGCCCAGCGCCCCCAAAGCCTGCTTGCAGAGCTGTGAACTCTGGTCTAAATGGCCTGAGTTAGAATCCCCAGCTCTGCCACCTGCTAACTGTGTGGCCTTGGGTCAGCGGTCATGCCTCTGAGCTTCAGTTTCCTCAGCTTGGAGTTGGGACAGCCCAGGTCCCTACCTCATAGGATTTTGCAGAGTAAGAAGGTCAATAAAAAGAAGGCACTGGGGCCTAGTGGCTGATTAATATATATGTTACCCATCATGAATATTACCAATGTGGGAGTCCGTTGACTCTCTGAGAATCCAAATAAGGACTTCAAGCTAAGACCCTCAAGTTGGGGCAGGGGGTTTCCAACCAGGGGTCCACGGGCCAGCCAATAGTGTGTTTTGCTTGACCTGCAGTTTCTCCCGGACTCTTGATCTAAAGGTCGTGAGCCCGAGCCCCACGTCGGGGGCATAGAGTTACTTAAAAAATAAAAATGATACAAAATAATTTTAAAGAAAGCTGTGAATATGAATGCCTCTCAGAGGGACATTCAGCACAGTGAAGTGATAAAAGACCCAGACTCGGGAGCCAGGCTGCCTGGGTTCAAATGATGACCTTGAGCAAGTAGCTTTCCTTCTCTGTCTCAGTTTCCTTTTCTGTAGAAAGAGGGTCGCCGCGGGACCCGAAATGAACGGTGAAGATTACATGGGTTTATGTTTGCAACGCACTTAGAGCAGTGCTCTGCAGGAGTAGCCTCCACGTGAATCGTTGGTTCGAGAAAATAAACGTCCCAGCTGGTTTACTGCAGAACCACCACCTTCCCCAGTATCTTGTTTGCCATTCTGGGTGAGTCGATTTCGCAGCTCGGGGAGAGGGAGTTGGGAAGGACTTAACTTTTCACTGCAGGGCCTGAGTCCTGGCTTTCCACGGTGGGGAGGGGGCCTCCTGGATTCCTCGGTGCAGCCAGCCCCCCAGGCCCGGAGGCTGGACCGGAGCCGGGTGGGGGCTGGGCGGGGGCGCGGGTGTCCGCAGGGTCCGAGCGGCCGGCGCGTGTGAAGGTTACCGTTCCCCGGCGGGGCGGGGGCCGCGCGCTGTTGCTGGGGTCTGCGGGGCCTGCCTGCGCCCGCGCCCCCCCTCCTTCCCGGCCAGCCAGTGAGCGGTACCCGCCGCCGTTGCCAGGGGAAACTCGCCGCCCCGTTACCCAGCAACAAGCCTGGCCCAACCAGGCGCGAGGACCCCCCAGGCCCCGCCCGCCGCTGCCCACCGCGTGCCCAATGCCAGGCGGGCAGAGCCGGCCCGGCTCCCGGAGACGGCGAGCGCGCTCATTGGCTGCCGCCGCGCCTGCCCGCCCGGATCTGGGGGAGCCCTCGGCGCGGGGGGCGGGGAGCTGGGCCCCGGGGAGCTGCCGGGCGCACGGCCTGCAAGCCTGAGGCCGGCTGGGGTGAGGCCCGGGCTGGGCACCGTCCCATCCCCCCTCCACCCCGCCCTGCACTCTCGGGCGAGGATGGGCACTTGGGATGGGCTGGAAACAGGGACTGCGCATCCCGTGCCTCCACCCCGCCAGGAAGGTACGCTGGAGTTGGCCTTGTGAAAACAGGGACGGAGCTTTCCCCTCCCAGAGGAGACCTGGGCGTCCTGACCCCGCGAAGGCAGGGGCTGTTTATCCCTCCCACCCCACCCCACCCCAAAACAAGATTCGGGCATCTTGAAAGAGAAGCTGAGGATTCCCTACTCCTCCGAAAAGGACCCAGCGTCCGGACCCCATAAGAAGTGCCCCGCCCTCCCCAAAGGACCCGAGCATGCCCTCTCCTGTGACATCAAGATATGAATCCCTTCGCCCCAGTGGATGCTAGTTTCCCAGCCCCAGGAAAGAAGGGCTGAGGGTGCCCCCAAAAGGGGATTCCAGGCCTGTCTGATGCTATAAAAGTTAGGTCGCAGCATCCCCCACCCCCGCGCCCCCCATCTCCCCAAACAGGGACTCGGGCCTTTGGACCTCAGGCTCTGAGCTGCCCAGAGAACCTGGGCATCCTGGCCCTACCCCGTATTGGTACTGGAAGCCCCTCCCCCGCCCCAACAGTCACCAGACCCTCAGGTGTCCCAGCTTACCCAGATGACCACCTGCCCAGACCCAGGTCGCAGACCTGCTAGCTTCCCTCCCCTCTGAGCCCTTTTCCCCAGGCTCAAGCTTGCTGATCTCCCAGGACCCAGGCCTCTGACCCCACAGCCACTCCCTCTAGTCCCTGGCACCCGCCGCCGCCCCCCCCCACCCCGTACCAGGCCTCACAGTGCCAAGGACCCGGAAGTCTAAGCCCCAAGTCTCTCAGACACCCCCCTCTCCAGACACCTGCCGAGGTGACCCAGCCCCTCACAGTGGTACAGGGGGGCTCTTCCCAGTTCCAGGACCCTGCGATGTTCTGGACCCCAGGTCTGGAAGTTCCAGCTTTCCACTGCCTTTAGTTAGCCACCAGGGATCCAGGACTGGGAGCCTCCAGCCTCCAGGGACCCTGATGTGAGTCCCCAGGCCACTCCAGAGAGGCTCAGATTCCTCAGTGCCCACCCCAGGGAGACCCAGGGAGCAGAGCCCCTAGCTCCAGACCCTGATGAGCCCAGGTGCGGCCCGCCCCTACCCCAGTACCTGGGGGGGGGGGGGCGGAGTCGAGGATTACTCAGCCTCCAGAATGAGGCGATGACATCATCCTGGGGGGGGTTGACTAATGGCCGCGCTGGGGGGAGGCGGGGAAGTTTACCCGGTAACAGCGGCTGCCGCATGGCCCCGCCCCCCCAGGAAGGGCCGGGAGGGGGAGGCATAAGCACACACAGGCACACACAAGCCCACTCAGCACACGCACCCCCTCCAGCAGCCCACATTGCACACATCTTACTGGGGCAAGGGCAAGGATGGGGGCAGTGTTTGTGTGACTGTGTGTTTGTGTGCTGGAGAGTTCTCTGGAGGTCTGCTGGGTCAGTGTGCTGTGTGTTAAGGGATTGACCTATGAGGGTGGTGGCTGTGTCAGGGTGCCGTGTGTGGGTGTGTGTGACTGTCAGTGCACTCTTGTGTGTCAGTCGATTGTGTGTGTCAGGAAGATGGTGCTGTGTGTCAGCCTGCTACATTTGTCCCATTGGGTGTCTGTGGCCATGATTGTGCATCAGTGTGTTATTGAGTGATGTTCTGGTGTGCTGTGCGTGTGATGGTGTGTCTGTGTGTTGTTTGTGTCATCGTGTTGTTTTGTGCAGTGTGCTGGTGTGCATGGGTGAGATGGTGTATGTCCGTGTGATTGTGTTTGTGTGACATGGGGATTGTATATGAGATGGTGTGCGTCCATGCGATTGTGTTTGTGTGACACGGGGACTGTATATGTGTTGGAATGATGTATTAGTAGGAATGTTTGTGAAAGTGCTGCGTCATTGTACCCTTGTGTTAGTGTGATTGGATGCGTCGGTGTAACATCACTGTGGTGTAGTGTGCTGGGTATGTTGTGTCACTGTGATTGTGTGTGCCATTGTGCTTTTGCTGTGTGTCAAGGGGAAGATGCACATGCGTGTCACTGTTATCCTGTGTGTCTGGACAGTGCTGTGTATAGTGGGATTGTGTGTGTAGCATTGTCATGGTATCTGAAGTGTTGTGTGTCCGTGGGACTATGTGTTATTGAGAGTATGTGCATCCGTGCAACGCTGCGTGTCATTGTGATTATGTGTGTCGTTGTAATTGTGTGTTGTTGTGGTTGTGTTGTCAGGGTCATGTTGTGTGTCTCTCTATATGGGACTCTATATATGTTAATAAGATGGTGTGTCTCTGCAATGTTGTGTGCCGCCGTGGCTGAGTGTGTCATTGCGTTTGTGTGTCAATGGGATAAACTGGCTGTGGGATTATGAGGGTGTCACTGTGATTGTGTGTGTGTGTTCTAGGAACTAAGTCATGGAGACTGCCTGTGTCTGGGCGATGCGGTTGTGTGTTGGGGTAAGGTGTGTCGCGGTGGTTGTGGGTCTGGGCAGTGCTCGTGCGTCCTGGGACTGTGTCAGCTGACTGAGATTTGGGGTGTCCGTGTGATGCCGCGTGTCTCGGCGCGATCCTGGTGTGTGTCCGTCTGTGTGCGTGTCACGGTGATGCTGCGCGTGTGTGGGGGCGATGCTGCGCGTCCCTGGGACAGTGCGTGTGTGCGAGCTGCTGCGATTGTGTGTCGGCGCGCTTCGCTGGGTGTCGGGGGAAGGTGCGCGCGTCTCCGGGCCTCCTGCCCGAGAACAGCGGCGCTGCTTTCTGATTGGCTGCGGCCTCGCCAGTGAGAAGCTCGCGAATCCTGCGGTAACTTGGTAACTCGGTAACTCGGCCGCCGCCGCCGCCGCCGCCGCCCCGGGGATGGGGGGTTGGGGAGGGGCCCGCCCCGCCGCACCCCGCGCCCGGCCCGCCCCTGCGGGCCACCCTCTCCCCGCCGCCTCGCCCACGGTCCGCAGCTCCGTCCCGGGACTCCATCCATCTCCCTCACGGGTCTCTGTGCCTCGGCTTCCCGCAGCTCCGCTGCTCGCTAGGTCTCTGTGTGGCTCCGTCTTGCCCACGTTGCTCTCTCGCTGCCTCAGTGTCCCTGCCGTCTCTTTCTCTGCCTCTGTCTCCCACACCCCGTCCCTGCCTCTTCCAGGGTCCGGCTCCCCATCTCTGCTTCTCCCGGCGTCTCTCTGTCTCCCCATCTCTCTTCCTATCTCTGTGTCTCTCCATCTCTGTCCCTCCATCTGACTTTGCCGAGTTGTCTCTCCTCTCTGTCTCCCCTTCCTCTGCCTCAGTCTCCCCAGCTTTGTCTCCCCTTCCCTTGTCTCTCCCACCTCTTGTCTGTCTCTTCCCCATCCCCTTTCTCTCTCACTCCCACGGTCATGCTCAGAATTCACTTTTCGTTCTGCGGAGACGGCCAGGGGACTATTCGCTACTTCATCCTCGCCCCTCTCCGCAGGCCTAGGCTTCTGGCAGCAGGCCCCACGCAAGGCAGACTTCAGGAAGGACTTCCCGCCCTGGCTCAGCACCGGAGCTTTATCGCTCGGGCCAGGCGGAGGCCAGGCGGCCCCGTGGCTTCCGGAGGCGCCCGGGCGGGATGAGCTCACTGCTAGTTGGCTTGGATTTCATCAGCTTCCTCTGCTGGAGTTGCCCCCGCTCCTTTTCCCGCGCCGGCCGGGCGGGCGAATCCTTCGGGCGCCTGCTGCCCCCGAGCGGCGAAATGCGGAAGCGCAGGTGCCGCGCGGAAAGTCCACCTTTGCCACTGACCACGTCTTGTCGCCAGTTTATGAATGCTGCAAATAGGAACCCATTTAATCCTCACAACGACCCCTTGGGGAGGAGACCATCTTAAGTTCCATTTCCAACGGGTGAACTGAGGCCAGAGAACTGAGGTCGGCCCCCTACGGTCACACAGCTGGTGAATGGAGCCCTTTGGGGGCTTACACAGGGAGAGAAGGGAATGGGTATGACCACCGGGATGTCTGTGCTCATTTATTCTTTTTTTTTTTAATAATTTTTTTATTGTTATGTTAACCACCATACATTACATCATTAGTTTTTGATGATGTGCTCATTTATTCTTACACTTATTCATTCAGCAGAGCTTTACCGAGGGCCTCCTCTGTGCCAGGCAGGGGGTGGTCTTATTCACGAGGGTGACCAAGGAAGCGGTAGTTCAGTAAAGGCCCAAAGGAGGTGAGGAAGCAAGGAGTGAGCGCCCAGACAGAAGGAAGGGCAGGTGCAAAGGTCCTAAGGGCAGAGTGGGCGTGTTCAGGATGGTGAGGAGCTCCTCCGCAGCTGGGAAGAGCTGGAAGTGCGTGAAGAAGGGGAGAGGGGTGGAAGGTGAGGTCTGAGAGGGGGTTAAATCCGGATGAAGACTTTAGCTTTTACTCTGACAAGGTGGGAGCCACTGGAGGGTTCTGAGCGGAGGGAGGTGAGCCGATTAAGTTCTAACAGGCGCCCTCTGGCGGTCACGTGGGAAACAGGCTGTGAGCCGAGAGCAGGGAGCCCAGCGAGGAGGCGACTGTCCTAACTCAGGCTGAGGTGGTGATTGTGGGGTCAGATCCAAGGGGGAGCCGATGGGATTGGCTGAGGCATTGGGTGTGGATGTGAGGGAAAGAGAGAAGTTTGGGCGACTCCAGGTTTTGGCCTGAGCAGCTGGAAGGAGGAAGGGGCTGAGAGAAATAATAATCGTAAATAATGACGCACCTACTGTGTGCACGACCTCGTTAAATCCTATGAGTAGGGCGCCTGCGTGGCTCAGTCGTTAAGCGTCTGCCTTCGGCTCAGGTCATGATCCCAGGGTCCTGGGATCGAGCCCCACATCGGGCTTCCTGCTCCGCGGGAAGTCTGCTTCTCCCTCTCTCGCTCCCCCTGCTTGGGTTCCCTCTCTCGCTGTGTCCCTCTCTGTCAAATAAATAAATAAAATCTAAAAAAAAAAAAAAAAATCCTATGAGTATCCCGAGAGGCAGGAAGTGGAGGTGGGAAATGTGGTAGGACTCTGGATTTATTCAGTTTTATAGATTTTGAAAGTGGAGTCTACATAATTTGCTCAGTAGCTATTGGTGGATTCAGCGGATCATTGCAGTAATAGCAAAAACATAGAGTGTGTGCGGCACTGTTCTCGGCACTGTACTTATCTTATTTAGTCCTTACAACCTGTTATCACGAGCGCCGTTTTCCATATAGGGAAACTGAGTCACAGAAAGATTTTTTTTTTTTAAGTACCTTGCCTAGCGTGATACTACTAAGAATTATAATAGATTTGTCATAGAGGTGGTATAGTACGCTCTGGGAGTCAGAAAGATCCCTGTGGGCTCAAATCCCAGCTGGTCGTGTGACCTTGGGCAACTCACGGCATCTCAGGGCTTTAGTGTCCTGCTTTGTAAAATGGAGGTTAGAAGGGTACGGTTGGCACAGGGCTTTGGGATGAGTTTAGAAGATAATTCATGTAACAAAAGTGAGGTCGCCATGTAGAAAATGCTCTTTAAACATTGTAGGTTGGGACGCCTGGGTGGCTCAGTCGTTAAGTGTCTGCCTTCGGCTCAGGTCAGGATCCCGGGGTCCTGGGATCGAGCCCCGCATCGGGCTCCCTGCTCAGCGGGAAGCCTGCTTCTCCCTCTCCCACTCCCCCTGCTTGTGTTCCCTTTCTCGTTGTGTCTCTCTCTGTCAAATAAATAAAATCTTAAAAAACAAAAAACAAAAAACGTCACCTCCTCAGAGAAGCCTTCCGGAACCATCTCTGCCCCCTCACCCAGCCTTATTTTGCTCCACAGCGCTCCTACTAACATATTCATTTGTTTAACTATGTATGATCTGTCTCCTCTTGGAGAAAGTGAGCTCCACGGCGACAGGGACGTGCCTCCAGGACAGCTGTACGTTCTGATCTCCATTTCACAGATCGGAAAACCAGAACGAGGCCGGGCACAGAGAGGGTTTTCATGGTTCAGGGGCTGTTTGTTGAATGAATGCTTGTCCCGCGTGTAAAGCGGCAAGGAGTGCGCCACAGCTCCTCCTGGTGGCTGATGGGAAACTCGCACCGCGAAAGTCGGCCCGCTTGGCGGTCCAATTTCCCACCAGATATTTATGTAGTCTGAGAGTTATGTATGTACTGATGCTAGAACTTAACTCCATTTCACATACAAACACAAAGTACTTTTTACGATGTCTTTATGAACTTGCACATTTTATTTTCAAAATTCTTTAAAACGTTGTTGAAACAAAGGCGTAACTTACTTTTGTAAAACCCACAAATCCCAAGTGTAAAACTCCATGTCATCAGCAGCCCAGGGGAGGAAATAAAACATAACAATCCCCCCCCCCACTCCCCCAGGACCTCTTCGGGGCCCCTTCTAGTCCCTCCCCTGGACCATCATTATCCTTGATTCTTTGGTTTTTTATTTTATTTTATTTTTTATTTATTTGACAGAGAGACAGCGAGTGAGGGAACACAAGCAGGGGGAGTGGGAGAGGGAGAAGCAGGCTTCCCGTGGAGCAGAGAGCCCGATGTGGGGCTTGATCCCAGTATCCCGGGATCCCGACCTGAGCCAAAGGCAGACGCTTACCCGACTGAGCCACCCAGGTGCCCCGTTATCCTTGATTCTAAGAGCAGAGGTGAGCTTTGCCTGTTCTAGAACCTCCTATCAATAGAATCTCACGGTATGTGCTTCCTTGTGTCTGTCTGGCTTTTGTCACTCAGCATAATGTTCATGAGATTCATCCACGCGGTGGCATGTAGGTAGAGAGGGTTCATCCATTGCACCTCTGATGGGCATTCTGGTTGCTTCTGATTTGGGGCGGTATCAGTTTGCTTAGTTAGAGCGGCTACCACCAAGTAGCCCAGGCTGGATGGCATGAAGCAACCAAAACTTTCTTTTCTCATAATCCTAGAGTCCAGAAGTCCTACCTCAAGGTGTCGGCCGGGTTAGTTTCTTCTGTGGCCTCTCTCCTGGGCTCAAGGATGGCTGTTTTCTCCTTGAGGCCTCACCCAGGCTTTCCCCTGTGCGTGTATACTAATCTCCTCTTCTTACAAGGACACCAGTCACACGGGATTAGGGCCCACCCTACTGACCTCATTTTCACTGAAATACCTCTGTAAAAGGCCAACGTCCAAATTAGGTCACATTTTGAGGCGCTGGGGAGGGGGGCGTTGGGACTTTGACACATGAATCGGGGAGGGGACACAAATCAGCCCGTAAGAGGGGTAATTCTGTTAAAGCTGCTATGGACATTTTTTTTTTTTTTTTAAGATTTTATTTATTTGACACAGAGAGAGAGAGCACAAGCAGGGGGAACAGCAGGTGGGAGCAGAGGGAGAAGCAGGCTTGCCGC